TAATCGTAGTAGTAGTAGTAGTAGTATAATAGTAGTAGTAGCAGTAGAAGTAGGTCGTAGTAGTAAGAGTAGTAGCCATAATAGTAGTCGCAGCAGTAGTAGTAGTAGTAGTAGTAATCGTAGTAGTAGTAGTAGTAGTAGTAGTAGTAGTAGTAGTAGTAGTAGTAGTAGTAGTAGTAGTAGTAATCGTCGTCGTAGTAGTAGTACTAGTAGTAGTAGTAGTCGTAGTAGTAGTAGTAGTAGTAGCAGTAGTAGTAGTAGTAGTAGTCGTAGTCGTAGTCGTAGTCGTAGTAGTAGTAGTGGTAGTAGTAGTAGTAGTAGGAGTAGTAGTTGCAGCAAAAGTATTATTATTAATGATAATATGCAGAAAACAAAGTTTATATCAGTGATTTGAGTGAGGATTGTTGTGCATGCGCTGTTGTGACACGCGTGTACTGTGGAGAGCCAGTGTTGGTTCAGTGCATGTTGAGGTGGAAAAGAGATTTCACCAGCCCTGTCGGGCAAGGTCTGTGGACCCCAGCTCCGCTACCCGAAGTTATCAAGATAACATACACTTATTAGTTCAGCACTTGCGTGGTAGATTGGTTTCTTCTCCAGGTGGCTGGCCCTGTGGACACGAGCCTGCTGGGACGACCGAACAAGTATTCAGGCAATCGAGATGAGTTTCCGACTTTCAGATATCAGCTGATCAGCTACCTTGTCGCGATTGACCCGGGGTCGGCATCAGCAGTGACAACGGCAGCCAGCCACAACACGGTCATCACGTTGACCGAGATGGGAGAAGATAACAACAGTATGCAGCAACGACGGGATACATTCTGTCACAGTTGTTGGGGGGCAGCGCGCTCACCTTGGTGATGAACTGCGAGCAAGGAAATGGATTGGAGCAGTGGGGACGACTACGCATGCGAGAAGATGCGGCGACAAGCTCCAACAAGGTGACGCAGCTGCAGCTGTTAGTGAACACAGAGTTTCCAAGCAAATGGGAGACCTACGTCGAAGAACTCACTAAGTTTCTGTTGGACGTCAATCGGTATCAAGAGAAGTTCAGTGAGATGATCTCGGACACCCTCATCCAGGCTGTGAACACGCTCGAGCCGCTCAGGACACAGGCGATGATGCAAACATTCACGTCTTATCAGACTCTACGTGAGACCTGCGAGTCCTTCGCTCAGCAGATGAGCCAACGAGACACGAAGACGGCCCAGAAGAAGTTCGACCCCAATGCCATGGACGTAGACGCCTTCGGCAAAGGTGGCAAGGGCGACTCCAAGGGGAAGGGCTACGGCAGGTCAGACATGAAGGGCGGCAAGGCGGGTGGCCAAAAGGGCGCAGGGGGCCGAGGCGGCAAAAGCGACGGTAAAGGCAAGACAAAGAGTAAGAAGGGAGAGGCGAAGTTCTTCGACGGATGGCGCTCTAACCCGCACTGCGGAAACTATGGACACAAGATGGCGGATTGCCGGAAGTACGGAGGCGGCGCGTACCAATCTGGAGGAGGTCAACGGTCCGCGCCAGAGGTCCAGCCAGGATCTTCACAGCCACCTGGATCGGGCATAGCAAGTACGGTCCACCCAGGCGATTCAGCATCACAGATGTCGGCACCTACACAGGCCACAACACGTGTGCCTGGACGGGCGCAGGCGGCAGTACTACCAGAAGACGAAGCGGGTTGGATTTTTGCGTTCACGGACGACCACGACGGGGACGTATGCGAGCTTGTCGTCGACAGTGGAGCTCACACTCATGTCGTACCAAAGACTATGACGGAGGGGTGCGAACTCACGGGCGAGCCAGGTCAGTCTCTGCGATCGATTACTGGTAAGGGTATACGGACATGGGACAAGCGCACGTTGACTGGAGAGGTCTTCAATTCAAACACGACGATCAGGGCGAAGCTCAACGTCACACCAGCTGAAGTCCGTAGAGGTGCTCTTTCAGTCGCGGAGATGAACGATGCAGGTTATTCAATCCACTTTGACCCTGATGGAGCCAAGATGTTCAGAAGCAACAAGAATGCGCAGCATGATATTGACAAAGCTCTGGAGTCGACTGTTTCACTCCAGCTTCGTCGGAAGGTGAATGCCTTTCTGCCTCCGATGAAGTTCAAGGGTCCGACGGGCGACGAGTCCATCATCGGAGACGACGACGAACAACCTAAGAAGGGGGACGCACAGATGAAGGAGGAGTCCGTTGAGAGGGAGCCTGCCGAGATGCAGGTCAGCAGTGGAGCGGCTAGTTCACGCGATGGCCCACGTGGCGCCGCTGGTGGGGCCCAGGATTCGCTAGGGACGCCCGCCGCACCTGGTCTCAAGAGGCCAGTTCAAGTGTTGGGAGAACTTGTCAGAGCGCACATTCGGAGAGGTCATGTACCTTTCGAGGCTTGGTGTCAGGAGCGCATGATGGGAAGGGGACAAGAAGACCCTCACCGCGCCAGGGGTCCAAACGCATCGTCCACTCCAGTTGTCTCATTTGACTATGGGTTTCTCAGTCTTGGCGAAGATGGCGCTGGTCACAAACTCACCCTGGCGGTGGGCAAGGACCGAAGGACTGGGCACCTCATGGGAGTTGTTGTCGAGGCGAAAGGGAACCAGAGCTACGCCATAGCAGCCATCAGCGAGTTCTTGGACGAGCTGGGCTACATGAGCATGGAGGTGCAGTTGGACGGTGAACCTGCACTGGAGGCCCTCATGAATGGGGTTGTTTCTGAGCGTATCAAGAAGCTTGGCAAGGAGGCTGCAGAGGCTCAACTCCGAGTACGGCTGGTTCCGAAAGGAAGCCATGCGTCTCAAGGAGGAGCTGAGAGTGGAGTCAAGTCTGTAGCAGGTCTTGCCAGGACTGGGCGTTTGGCTCTGGAGAAACGTTACAACATGAAGTTCACTGAGGATATTCCCGTCATTCCCTGGATGATACGTCATCAGATATTCTGCCACAACAGATACCAGCGGAGGAGGAGCAGCGGTCGCACATCTTTTGAGGAGTTGAGATTGGCACCGTATACATCACCCATGCTGGAACTCGGGGAGACGGTAATCGGTAGGGAGCACACCGAGTTGCAGGACAAGCTGGGCACGGCCTGGTGCAAAGGAATGTGGCTTGGACGCAGTACGAAGAGTGACGCTCACATCATAGGTACAGCAACTGGGATAGTTCAAGCCAGGACGGTGAAACAGCTCACGAAGGAGGAGAGTTTCGATACGGAGATTCTCAGAGCTATGCGATGGACGCCGTGGAAGACGTCGGTGAGGGCTGGAGTCTATGACGGCGAGAACTGGCAGCCAACGGAAGGATGCCCTGGGTGCGAGTACGCAGCAAAGGGTCAGCACGGACGCTGCCGACCACCACACCACAGCAGGACATGCCAGCAACGTCGGGCCGAGCATGAGAAGACTGTTGCCAGCAAGACCGAGGAGCAGCCCGAGGTCGTCGTGATTCCAGCGCCCGCGATCAGCTCCGAGGCAGACCATGGAGATCAACAAGCACCAGCAGGGCCAGGGCCAGCACAAAGTCGAGATCCAGTCTCGGAGGCCCGGCAGCAGGTGCATAGGATCGAGGGGGGGCTTCGTGGCAAGCAGGAGGCTCCTACCCCAGGATCGTCTAGCAAACGGGGAGCTGCTGACGCAGACCTTAGTGAAGGCGGCCCTGGAGGCCCACCTGGCAATCGAGGTCTGGTGGGAGCCATCGAGGACATGAGTACGGAGGACCTCAAGAGGCTCGTGGCAGGCTTCAGCACCGAGGAGATGATGAGGCTTGTGGCCGAGGTCGACAAGGAGATGAAGGATGACAGCGAGTTCAGCGTCGTGATGGGCTGGACGGAGGACGACGAGCGGGAGGCGAAGCAGTGCGAGTTGGATCGGTTCGACAACTACGACGCGTGGGAGCTCACCCTCAGGGACCCCCAGGGGCCCAAGGCTCTTACGTGGACATGGGTCCTGGAGATGAGGAGTGGAGAGCTCGAGGCAAGGCTCTGTGCGAGGCCATTCGGTAAGCAGGCCAACAAGAGCAAGAACGAGCTGTATTGCCCCACTCCACTTTCGTTTTCACTCAAGTTGCTCATGGTGTACGCTATCGCCAAGGACTTCGCGATTTACTTCTTCGATATATCTCGAGCGTTTCTGTATACACATATTCGGGAGTTGGTTTATGCTGAGGTTCCGAAGGAGTACTGCCACTTACCAGATAGTTCAGATTGGGTTCTCAAGCTCAACAAGACAGTTTATGGACTCAACGAGGCAATGATGGATTTTGATGGCCACTTCGGGAACATTGCTACAGGACGGAGCGATGAATCAAAGATGACTTGCAAGATGTTTCTGTCAGATCCGTGCACGTTCGCAGACAAAACAAATCAGGTGGCGATGTCCAAGCATGTCGATGACGGTACACTGGTTGGGCCTAGAGTTTCAGCCAGCAGAGTTTTGGAGAAGCTCGGCGCACACTTTCTGCTTAAGGTTTCAGAACTTACGGTCGGTGGTCCAGAGATCAAGTATCTTGGACGTGGCTGGCCCCGTACCCCCGAGGGCATTCAAGTTCGCGCGTGGCCTGCTACTGTGAAGAAGCTACTCGACTCTGAGCCCAATGATAAGAAGACAAGCCCAATACCTGGAATCAAGAATGAGAGGAAGGTCGAGAGCGAGGAGGAGTTGGACGCAAAGGCGGCCACGAGGTTCGGGAGCATCAACGGTCTCAACATGTTCGTTTGCTTAGAGAGGCCCGAGTGCCAGTACGCGGCGAAGGAGTGCTCGAGGGGGATGTCACGACCAACGGTGCAGGACCAGACGAGACTTATACGTATCATCAGGTTCATTCGAGCTCATCCGTCGTCGGTGACATGTATGTATCCAGACAGTGGTGAGTTCAGAATCATAGGACGTGCAGATTCAAACTGGGCTGATGATCCAATCGGAAGGAAGTCTACCAGCTGTGGTCAGTTGTTTCTCAATGAAGCTTCGATCATGCAGTTTGTCAAAACATAAGGGGCCCCGGCACTATCGTCACCCGAGGCCGAGTTCAACGCGCTCGTGCACGTCGGTATCGAGGCGAGGGGTGCCCAGACATATCTCATGGAGCTCCTGGACGACACAGTGCCTGTGACGCTGGAGAGTGACAACTCTAGCGCGCTCACGAATGTCGAGAAGAAAGGCGTTGGCAGGATGCGCCATATCGAACTGAAGGACCTGTGGATCAAGGACCTCGTCGCACGGAAGGCGGAGACGAAGGTCAGCACCAACAAGGTCCATACCGAAGAGAATACAGCAGACATCGGGACGAAGCATTTGTCGAGGATCGATGCATGAAGCATCTGACGGCAATGAGGGCATGGCTTACTGGAAAAGGTGGAGTTGGAGGAGTTTCGAGTTCAAGCAACGACAAGAAGGGCCAGATCGGTAAACCTGCGCTGGAGCTAATGGGTGCACTTACCCAATGCTTGGTGGGTCTTGGTGCGTTTCTTCAAGTTGGACGCGCAGATGCTACTGAGATAATTAAAGGTGACTACCAGCCAGTCGCGATCTCAAACCCTGCAGATGATGAGAGCCATTTTGGCGTTTCCACAACGGTCGTGATGATGATGCTCACCCTTTTGAGTGTTATCGCAGCGAGCGCAGTCTTCAAAGTCAAGCAGCACATCGACCGCATCACGCAGCCAGCACAGAAAGATGCCTCAACTCAATACAGCCTGAAGGACACGATGAAGAATGGACCTACGAGCAAGATCGTGGTCAATGATCTTCGGGCTATGTTCACAGCTATGACTATAGACAGTGGACGGGAGTTTCTACGACTACGGCGGGTGGATCGGGCCGTCTCGACATATACAAAGGCGATGGTGGTCGAAGCATGCGTGGCGACCGCCCTCAACGAGATAAGGCAGGACAAGATCTACAGTGTTGATGGGTTTGTCGGGATTTGGCACCCTCACTCGCTGGCCATGATTCGATATTGATACGTTTCCAGATTACGTGCCCGATCTTGGCATGAAGCTGCAGATGGGCCCGAGGAGGAGTGCAGGAAACAAGGTATATATCAGTGATTTGAGTGAGGATTGTTTTGCATGCGTTGTTGTGACATTTGTGTATTGTGGAGAGCCAGTTTTGGCTCAGTTCATGTTGAGGTGGAAAATAGATTTCACCAGCCCTGTCGGGCAAGGCCCGTGGACCCCAGCTCCGCTACCCGAAGTTATCAAGATAACATACATTTATTAGTTCTGTACTTGCATAATAACAATAATAATAATAATACGAGAAAGCGCGTTTCACGGGCGCTTGCCTTGGGAACATTCGGCGGCGCGTTTCGAACCGAGGGGTGGGCCCCTCCCCCAACACTCGGCGCCGTCGATCAGAACCAGGGGGACTCCCCTCCCTCCTAACCCCCCCCCTCCCACTCCCCCCCTCTTCCCCTCCCAACGGGGGAAGAAGTACCAAAACACCCCCCCTGGCGCTGGCGCCGGCGCCGGCGCTGGCGGCCGCCAGCAACGCCGACGGCGGGCACGCAGCGACGATAACCAGAAGGGGCCCAGGGGGGAAAGAGTGCCAAACCCCCCCCCAGCGCGAGCGCCGGCGCCGGCGCTGGCGGCGGCCAGCAGCGCCGACGGCGGGGACGCAGCGACGATTACCAGAGAGGGCCCAGAGGCCGCAGAGGGAACACGCAAATCGCAATGTCGAGCCCTTGCCCCCCAGAAGCCACCGATAGGAAGGTCCACGAGGCTTCACACATGCTCCTCAGATGCCCCCGAGACCCTTCTGACGCGACCTCAAGAGGCATCCATTAGAACTCTGACCCAAAGCCACACGGTGGCGGGAAGAGCCGAAGGCCACACCACCACCACCACAAACCACAAAACCACCACCACAACTACCACCACCACCACCACAACCACCACAACCCACCATCACCACCACGACCACCATCGCCACAAACCGCTACACGACCACCACCAGAAACGCCACCACCACCAGCACCACCACAACCCACCACAATCCACCACAACCACCACCACCACCACCAAAAAACACCAAACCATTACCAGCACCATCACCACCACCCGCCACCACCACAACCATCACCACAACCCACCACCACCAACACCACCACAAACCACCACTGGCACAACCACCACCACTACCACCACCACCACTACCACCACCCACCACCGACCACCACCACCACCACCACCAGCACTACCACCACCACAAACCACCACGCCACCACCGCCACCACCGCCACCAACAATACCACCACCACCAGCACCTCAACCCACCACCATCACCACAAAACCTCCACACAACTCTCACCACAACAGCCACCGCCACCACCACAACAACTCACCACCACCACCACCACAACAACCCACCACCACCACCACCACAATCTACCACACCACCATGCCACCAACGACACAACCACCACCACCACCACCACCACCACCACAACCCACCACACCACCACCACCAAAAACCACCACACAACCACCACCACCGCCAGCCAGCACCACCACCAGCACCAACTCCACAAACCACCACCACCACCACCGCCACCAACAACACCACAAACTTCACACCATAACCACCACCACCAACGCCATCACCACCACCACAACAACCCACCACCACCACTACAAACAACCACCACACCACCACCAAACCACCACCACAACCACCAACCACCACCACAACCACTACCACCACAACACCCCACCACACCACCACCACCACAACCACCACAACCGCCACCACCACCACCACAACCCACCACACCACCACAACCACCACACCACCACCACCACCACGACCACCACCAGCACCACCACCAGCACCGCTCACAACCACAACCACCACCACCACCACAACAAACCAGCATCACACCCACCACAACCACCAGCACCGCCACCACCACCACCAACACCACCACAACCCACCACCACCACAACCACCACCACCACCACAGCCACCACGACACACCACCACACCACCACCACAACCACCTCAACCCACCACCACCACCACAACTATCCATCACCAACACCACCAGAAACCACCGCACCACCCACCACCCACCACCGACCACCACCACCACAACCTGCCACCACAACCACGACAACAACCACCACCGCCACCACCACCACCATCACAACCACCACAGCCCACCACCACCACTACCTCAGAGGGGCTCCAAGGGACGCCCAAGAGGCGCCCAGGAGAGACCCCCAAGAGACATCCGACGAGACCCCAAGAGGCATCCATTTGGACTCTGAGCCAAAAACAAGGCACGGTGGCGGAGCGTCGCCGTCGTCGTCATCGTCGTCGCCGTCGTCCTCGTCGACGCTCCCCGCCGCCGCCGCCCGCCGCAGCAGGTGCCGGCACCAGCCCAAAAAAGGAAGCCGTCGCCCCCAACGCCGCCGCCAGCCGCATCCGACGCAGGCGCCGGCCCGAGGAAAGGGAGAGAGGAAAAATAGGGGAAGGGGGGGGGGGTGAAACCCCTCCCCCTCCGTAACCGGAAAGGAAGAGGGTAAGAACCCCCCCCCTTCCCCTCCAGGCGATCACAGAACGCGCTCTTTCAGTAGGAATAGTAGTTATAGTAGTAGTAGTAGTAGTAGTAGTAGTAAGTAGTAGTAGTAGTAGTAGTAGTAGTAGTAGTAGTAGTAGTAGTAGTAGTAGTAGTAGTAGTAGTGTAGTCGTAGTCGTAGTAGTAGTAGTAGTAGTAGTAGTAGTAGTAGTAGTAGTAGTAGTAGTAGTAGTAGTAGTAGTAGTAGTAGTAGTAGTAGTAGTAGTAGTAGTAGTAGTAGTAGTAGTAGTAGTAGTAGTAGTAGTAGTAGTAATAGTAGTAGTAGTAGTAATAGTAGTAGTAGTAGTACTAGTACTAGTATAGTACTAGTACTAGTACTAGTACTAGGAGTAGTAGTAGTAGTAGTAGTAGTAGTAGTAGTAAGTATAGTAGTAGTAGTAGTAGTAGTAGTAGTAGTGGTAGTAGTAGTAGTAGTAGTAGTAGGTAGTACTAGTATTAGTACTAGTAGAGTACTAGGAGTAGTAGTGGTAGTAGTAGTAGTAGTAGTAGTAGTAGTAGTAGTAGTAGTAGTAGTAGTAGTAGTAGTAGTAGTAGTAGTTATGGTAGTAGTCGTAGTAGTAGTATAGTAGTAGTAGTAGTAGTAGTAGTAGTAGTAGTTATGGTAGTAGTAATAGTAGTAGTAGTAGTAGCAGTAGTAGTAGTAGTAGTAGAAGTAGTAGTAGTAGTAGTAGTAGTAGTAGAAGTAGTAGTAGTAGTGGTGGTCGTGATCGCAATCGTAACCGTAGTCGTTATAGTAGTAGTAGTAGTAGTAGAAGAAGTAGTAGTAGTAGTAGTAGTAATAGTAGTACTCGTAGTAGTAGTAGTAGTAGTAGTAGTAGTAGAAGTAGTAATAATAGTAGTAGTAGGAGTAGTAGTAGTAGTAGTGGTAGTAGTAGTAGTAGTAATAGTAGTGGTAGTAGTAGTGGTAGTAGTAGAGGTAATTCTAGTAGTACTAGTAGAAGTAGTAGTAGTAGTAGCAGTAGTAGAAGTAGTGGTAGTAGTCGTAGTAGTAGTAGTAGTAGTAGCAGCAGTAGTAGTAGTAGTAATAGTAGTAATAGTAGTAGTAGTAGTAGTAGTAGTAGTAGTAGTAGTAGTAGTTAGTAGTAGTAGTAGTAGTAGTAGTAGTAGTAGTAGTAGTAGTAGTAGTAGTAATAGTAGTAGTAGTAGTAGTAGTAGTAGTAATGGTGATAGTAGTAGTAGTCGTAATACAAATTCGCCGGCCCAACAAGCCAGAGGCGTGCTAAGATCTCCGGTAACTGGTTGACAATATTTCTAGTTCGCGCGCGCGGAGCGGCCCCTGCGGGCCCCCGGACGAAAAGTACCCCGGCAATGTCACGGGAGAAACCACCAGAGCACTCCAGGGGAAGGCAATTTTTCGAGACCGCTCACGAGGATCGCGGCCTCCGAGGGGGGAGCCGCAATCGACTAACCCCCCTCCCGCCCCAAGAGGCCCCCAAAAGCCCCCCAAGAGGCCCTGGGGGCGTCCAAGACGCCGCCACGGAGCCCCAAGAGACTCCCAAGAGGTCCCCAAGAGGCCCCCAAGAGGTCCTAAAGAGGGCTCCAGGGCCAGCGGAATGAGCGAAGCGATTAAATCAGTAGTAGTAGTAGAAGTAGTAGTAGTAATAGTAGTAATAGTAGTAGTAGTAGTAGTAGGAGTAATAGTAGTAGTAGTAGTAGTAGTAGTAGTAGTAGT